GAGAGCTGGACAGAATTGATGCCTTTGAGTTGTGGTGTTGGAGGAGAATACTGAACGTACCATGCACTGCCAAAAGAACCAATAGATCTGTTTTGGAAGAAGTGCAGCCAGAGTGCTCCTTGGAGGTCAAGATGGCTAAGCTTCGTCTCTCATACTTTGGACATATTGTCCGGAGGGAACAGTCGCTGGAGAAGGATGTCATGCTGGGTAAGGTGGAGGGTCAGAGAAAAAGAGGAAGACCCCTAAAGAGATGGATTGGCCAGGTGGCATCATTAATGGACTCAAGTGTGGCAGCGGTAGGTAATGAGATTGGCCCAGGATCAGACATTGTTTCGTTCTGCTGTGCATGGGGTCGCTATGAGTCGGTTCCGACTCCATAGCACCTGACAACAACAACAACATCTCTGCACACTCCTGACCTCTTCTCCTCCTGAAAAAGGAACTGCCTCTCCAATGCCATTTCCTTTCTGAAGGCTTGAGATCCCATCCCCTCCCCTCACACCATCTCAGGAAGTACTGCAGAATATCTTTCTCTCTCAGGCTTTTCCTCAATCCCCCATCCCTCTCCAGCTCTGCTGCCCTACTGCCCTCTTAATCACTTCCAGACTTAATTAAAAATTAAGCCTGTTCAGTGTCTGCATTTTCTCACCTCAAATACTCTCTTCAGATTACTCCAGTGTGGCTTTCATTGCTATCCTCCTTCAGAACTCCTCATGCTAAGGTCTCCAAAGACCTTCAGGTTGCTGAATCCACTGGCATTATCTTCTGACTTCTCAGAAATATTCAACACTGTTGATTCCAGGTGAGGTAACACTGTTTTTCATTCCTACCTCACAAGCAGATCTTCCCTATCTCCTCTGTAGGCACATCCTCCTCTTCCAGACCATCAAATGTTGATGTTCTTCAAGATGGCTTCTAGTCTCTTTTGTCATCTCATTGTTCTCTGTCCTCTTTATTCACACCCAGGGAGAAACTGATTTTTTGTACACAGACACAGTGATATTTCTCTCCTGTTCCTGCCTCTCCTGTGAACTCAGATCCATAGAGCCACCTGCCTCACAGACAGATGTCTCAAGTGCACATCAAATTTATCAATTTCAAAATTGAACTCGTCAGAGAAGCCACTCCATTCACGTTTGCTTCACGATCACCTGCCCCTGTGGATTAAGCTCACTTTGGGGGAAGGAAGGTGTCTTGGAGATTCCTCTATATTCTATGAATCCAGCAATGTGTTAAAAAGTCACTGTTTTTTTCAAGAAATTTGTTTTGTTTTTTCATTTTGTATTGTCTGGTTTTGTTTTGTTTTTCATTTTTGCAACTATGGACCCTTGGAAGAACCTTACATTCTACTGGAAGTTCAAGTCCTTAAACTCATTTTTATTGCTAATAACAAGGAAAACATACCTCAGAAAGCAAGATGAAAAACTGATTCTCCAGAAGAAAGTTCAACTTTTTCCAAGTCCTGTGTCGAATCCTATCCCTGCCATTCACTAGAACATAAATGAAATTTGGTATCACTGTTCTCTGTCACTTCAAATTTCCTTTTGTTCTTGATTCCTGTCTAACTCTTTCATATGCATCCCTCCTTTCCTTATTGAAGGTTCATCTTTTAGTAAATCCATACCCTTGTCCTAATACTTTAAAAAAAGAAAGAAAAAATGTAATTCCTTTAAGAGAGGTAAAGACCACATGAATAATAATAGCTGTTCTTTAAATAGTCAAAAGTGTAAAGAAATAATTATGTACATTACTTCAACAAATAATTACATCAGAAGATATCAAAAAGTCCTTTCTCAAATAGCATTTTCTTTTACACAGGGAAGTTGTCAGGGACATGGCATCAAAGTTGTTCTGGGCTGAGGCTCTGCAGGGAAAATAGATGAGGGAGAATCAAGAACAAGTTAGCATATGGGTTGACCCTGTACTATTCCTCCTTTGGCACACCATCCTGGCCACCACAGGCCCCAGCGCAGGACAGAGGTGAGAAGTAGGGATTGGAGTTGAGGTGGTGAGAAAGGAAAGAGAAGACAAAACCTAAGTGGTCTTTATATGGTACTGTAGGATAAGCATTGGACTTGCCAAAGGATTTTTCTGCCCACCTCTCTCACTTCCCTCCCTACTCCATTCTATATTTTGTCTTCTCTTTCCTTTCCCACCAGCTGCTCCTCAGAAACCCTGTAAAGTCACTGAGTTGGAACCCACTTGAAGGCACTTAACAACAATGAAACAGCGTGTTTAAGTCAAGGACGCCCCTCTTAGATACAAGCATACTTCATTTTATTGTGCTTGATAGATAACTGTGTGTGGTTTTTTTTGGGGGGGTGGGGGGGTGGAGAGGAGTAAGGGGTTAGGGTTGGGACTAGGGCTAAGTCTTGGATAGACATAGGACTTAGTTTAGTGTTAGGGTTATGGTTAGGACTAGGGGCTAGTGTTAGAGATGAGGGTTTGGCTAGAGTTAGGAATAAGGCTTGCTCTAGTTTTTAGGGCTGCAGTTAGGTTTTTTGATTTTTTTCTTGAAATCTACTTGGTTTCCTCTCATTTGTAAGTTCTGTAACTACATTATTCCCTCTTTTTACTTTATGGGTTTTGTTGTTGTTGATCTCTGGTTGTCCCTTTTCAGTCTTACAGGTCTGCTTTACTTTTTGCATACTTCTCCTGGTGTGGCACTGCGGATTAATGTGCTGGCTTACAAGGTCGCTTTGATCTCAAGGTTGGCGGTTCAAGCTCACTAGCTGCTTTTTGGAAACCCTAAACAGGGTCGCTATGAGTCAGGACCAACTAAGTGGCACTTGGAAATAACAACAACAATATATCTGGGTTGAGTCTAGGTGATACTGCTGTGTATATTCACCTCAGGTTGTAGTTTGCTATTGTTGGTCTGCTGGCCTAAGAACTCCCTGTAGTAATTTTTGTAAGATTGGTCTGGTTTTTACAAATTATTTTAAATTTCTATTTTCTGAAAATGAACAAATTTCACTTTGTATTTGACGGAAAGTTTGGCTGGATAGTTGATTCTTGGTTGGCAGTTTGTTTCTTTCAGAGTTTTATATATGCCATTCCACTGTCTTCTTGTCTGCACGTTTCTGCTGAGAAATCAGAACTTGGTTGCATTACTTCTCCATTGTTAGCTAACTTTTTGTTTTTTTCTGAGCTGCTTTCAGGATTCTTGTCTTTGGTTTTGAAAAGTTTGATTAGATTATAATATATCTTGATGGTGTGTGTATATATATTTGGTGGGGGGTGGGGCGGGTAGAGGGGATCTATCCTGTTTGGAGTTTATTCAACTTCTTGAATGGTGGTATTCTTGTCTTCCATGATGTTTCATGATGACAGTATTCTCCATGGGGCTTTCTGTCTCTTCCTGTTCTGGAATTCCTATCACATATAAGTTACTTTTCTGTATGTCCCACATAAATCTTAGGCATTCTTCAGAGTTTTTTGTTCTTTTTTCTGATTGCTCCTCTAGCAGATGAATATTGAAAGATTTTTCTTCAAGCTCAGTAATTCAGCTTACCATTGATTTAATTCTGTTTATTTGCCCTTTCAGTATATTATCTATTTCTGCAGTCTTAATATTAATCTTTTGGCTTTCTAATTACTGATTTTGTCGATTCCCATTTTTTCAATTGTTTTGTCAATTTGTTTCCCATTTTTTCCCTTAATTTCCTCTGTTTTCATTGATGACAGCTATAGTTTTCTCCATCTTTCTCTCGATCCATTGAAGTTACCTAATTAGCATTATTTAAAATTCCTTATTATGTAGATTTGATACCATTTCTGGTGTTAGGTACTGACTATATTTTTGGTCACTTGTTTGAGGCACTCTGTCTTGTTTCTTCGTGTTAGTTGGAATTGTCTGTTTTCTCTCAGACATTGTGGTGTCGTATTTATATTTAGTTGATGATTGTATAGGTGTATTCTCAGACACTCACCATCTGGCTCCTGGCGGATATGGTAGAGATTGGAAGTGTGAGCATAGTTAGTTCTCTGTTCACTGTGTAGTGTAGGTCAAAGGGGGTTTACCCTCCAACCCCAGACAGACCAGAGACTGCACAGGAGGGGGTACTACTGGCTGCTGGTTTTGTGAGAACCAGGACTGGGCGCGTCCCTTTTGCCAGGGGGACATGGGAACAAGGGAAGAAGTGTACCTCCTTGCCGCCAACCTCCAGCCATGTCCTGTGCCAGCAGGCTGCTCTCCAAAGCTCAGGATGGCTGTACCACTCCACACCAGTCTACAGTCCGCCCATTTTTCTTCCTTCACTGCTCCTGTTCAGCTGCTTCTTCCAGTCAGCATTTAACCCACCTCTCTGTCCTGTGTACCCTCGGATGGCCAGGGCCCCAGGATCACCATCTGTGTCTGTTTCACTGGGTCTCCCGCGTCTTTGTTATAGAAGGTCATCTTACGCATCTGCTTACACCACCATCTTGCCCAGGACTCAGTTAACTGTGTTTTTTTGTTTTGTTTTTTCTTTTTTTTTAAACAAATTGACCAATTTGTGGCAACCCTGCATTGAACAAGTTTTATCAGCACAATTTTTCCAACAGCATTTATGCACTTCATATCTCTATATCACATTTTAGTAGTTCTTACAAAATTTGAAATCTTTTCATGTTATTGCACACCTATCCACTATTGTTGAGTTGATTCTAACTCATAGTGACCCCATAGGACAGAGTAGAACTGTTCAATAGGGTTGCCAAAGCTCTAAATCACTAAGGGAGCAGATTGCCTCGTCTTTACCCCGTAAAGCATCTGAGAGATTTGAACTGCCAATCTTGGGTTATCAACCTAATGCTTAACCTGTTGTGCCCTCGGGACTCCTTAATAGACAACAATATAGTATATGCGTAACTGTTATATGCACTGGGAAGCCAAAAACTTCACTGGACTCATTGTATTGCAGCCTTCGCTTTATTGCGGTGACCCAGAGCCAAACCCACAATATATCCTAGCTATGCCTCTAACAATAATCTGTGCCATTTATTTGATTTTGTTCTAGATCAATGAACTGAGCCATGTTCAAATCCCTGTTATGTTGATGCCAGATGACTTCAAAGCCTATTCAAAGATAAAGGTGGACAATCACCTTTTTAACAAGTAAGTACAAGTATGGCCCTGTCTGGGACTGATATGGGTACTAAGAGTATGATTTTTGTGGATTTCTATGATCACATTATTTTTCAATGGGTAGGAGTAAAGTTTTTCTGGTGAAGTTAATCCTGTGATAAACATAACCATCTGTCATTTTCAGAAAAGCAACAGCAGACCCGTTTGGGTAACATCCTTTTGCCATATGGCATACTGTTCTCTATGAATATCTTATATGTTCAAAGTGATATTCTCATTACATTTTAAATGTTTGAAGCTGTAAATTGCTTGGATTTTTAGCAGTTATGAACCTCGTGCTCTCTTACATGAAAATTAGAAACTGATTAGTTTATAAATATAAATGATTACTTCATAAAACAATAAAGAATTAAGGTACATTTTTATAAAGCATAATTGTATATGGAATTGGGCATTAAGAGTATTTCTCCTTCATTTGAATATACTTTTAGACCTCATTATTAAGGCCCTGGGTGGGATAAATGGTTAAGCACTTGTCTAATGACTGAAAGGTTGGAGGTTCCAATCTACCCAGAGGTACCTCAGGAAAAAGACCTGGTGCTCTGCTTCATAAAGATCACAGCACACTTTTACTTTGATGCTTTAGGTCACCATACATAGAAACCAGCAACTAGTTTTGTTTTAGGAAGGTTGTTTGTGTATTTTTGTTCTCTGTGGAGTCCCTAGTAGGCAATCCATTGAGAACTGAAGATTGCAACAATGTATAAAGTGTGACTCTGCCGTCAATGAGCTCATAGTTAGGCTGATGGTTGAAAACTGTCACAAATAAAGTACAATATTCAGTGTATAAAGTCCTACAATAAAGGAGCATTGTGTATGTGTGCATGTATAAGGCTGTATGGTTACACAAAAGAGAAAACAGTTAATGAGTGAGGTGAACCTTCCTGATGACTATAGAAATCCCTTCCACATGAGGATCGATTATGAAATTTCTTAATGGAGCTATTGTTTTCATGTGACGTGGATGTGATACTTCCTCCCCCAACACTGTTTACAGGTTGACCTTTTAATGGAATTTAGTCTATGTGAATTGAGAATATGCATTTATATAAAATATGATATTCTGGGAGTGAGAAAACAGTCTTGCTTTATAGACTTTCATCTAGCAAGTAACTGAAAATGAATCTGGGAGAGCCCTGTTTGCTACACTGCCTTTTCCCCAACTCTCCTACATTTTTGCTTTTCCTTTACTGTTGTCCTTTCTACCTCTTCTTCCTTGGCGAAGCGGTGGTAGTGTGTGGTCAGTATTTAAAAGTTTACATAGCCCTCGGTCATGAAAGGAGTCAGATATTAATGGTCTACCATTTTCTGTCCCTTAAGATCCCACTGTGGATTATACTTGGTTCTATGAACTACATCTGGGTTTACAGACAGTGAACTCAAGCATTTCTTGGGATGCCTTACTTAGATGGTGGCAGATTAAAGTCTGGTAAACTGCCTATCTGGCTGCCTGATTCCCTAATATCACTGTTTCAGAGAAAACATGCCGAGCCATTTCAAGTTTAAAGAATACTGTCCGATGGTTTTCCGTAATCTGCGGGAAAGGTTTGGAATCGATGATCAAGATTTCCAGGTGAGTTGCTTTTATAACATTTGTTTCAAATGAGTTTTATAACGTTTTTTTCCTTTATAAATGGGGATGGAGATTTTTGTTACTACAAGTAATTATATAATACTAATTTTTGCTTTATATAAGGATCTTCTAGACTTCTTTTTGAAGTAACAAGTTCTGTTGGTTAGATGCATTGATTTCAGTATAGAAGGTGGTGGAGACCTGGTGTGGCACTGTTGGATAAGCACTGGACTGATAACTGCAAGGTCACTGGTTCAAACCCACCAGCCACTCCTCAGAAACCGTATACAGGGTCACTATGAGTCAGAATCGATTCAATAGCACTTAACAGCAATAACAACATCTAAGTTGGTAGGAAACGAAATTAGTTGAGGCTCATTGTTTGTAGATTCTGTATTTGCAAATCCGCTTACTTGCTAACAAGTATTTGGAACTCCAGGATCAGTAGTTGTGTGCTTTCACTGACAGCCATGGACTTGTGCAAAGTGGTAAAAAGTTGAGTCCCCCAATGTGCATGTTCCTACTTGCAGGTGAGCAAGGTGACATTCTGCAGCCTTATGCTTTATTCTCTCTTATGCTCTCGTACTTTAAACAAGTGCTCTTTTCACAGTCCACTTAGTGGACGTTTTCGGGTGCGATTTTATTGGTTTTGTTTTTTGCATTTGGGGGCTTTTTGTTAGTCATTTCACATTTAAAACTGCCCTGTGGTGCTGTGAATAAATGCAATGAATTGCAAAGTTGGTTTGACCTGCAACGTTGGCGGTTCAAGCTTACCAGTCACTCCTTGGAAACCTTATATAGGGTCGCTATGGGTTGGAACTGACCTGACAGCACTTAACAACAATACCATCAAGCATAGTGTTCAAATAATGTCTAGTGTTCTAAGGATTGTGATGTACCTTACAGAGACAATCAAGTGTGTTCTGTAAGCTTTATTCCGGCACGAGTTCTAGTGCTTTTAGCAATATATCTGAAATAATGAGTCTTTAGGAGTCCTGATATGATGATGCTGTGGGTTAATGAGCTGGACTGCAAAGCCAGTTTGAACTGCAAGGTCAATGGTTCAAGCTTACCAGCCACTCGTCAGAAACCCTATACAGGGTCACTATGGGTCAGAACCTACTTGACAGCACTTAACAGTTGGTCTTTTAGTAAAAACACATAAACAAGGCTGTAAAAATGTTCTGATCAGAGGCGTGCAGGAACCTAATTTTGTCATTCCCCTCAGAGTAATGATGTAATATTTGCTGATTCAGTGCTTGCAGAAACTTTAGAGAACGTCACTATCACCGATAATGAGAACTGACCATAATATTCTTTGAAAAGAGACAGTTATGTAATGCTCTCTCATTTTCAGGTAGAAATTTCTGCAAGCAGAGCCTTGTTTTTGTTTCTACTTTAAAATACATAAAAAACCTGTGAAAGTGTGTTGAATTCCCATTTCGTGTATTGCTAGTGTGGCACCGTAGGATAAACACTGTACTAATAACCACAAGTTCAGTGGTTCAAGCCCACCACTTGCTCCTTGGAAATCCTATACAGGGCCTCTATGAGTCAGAACTGACTCAAGTGCACTTAACAACAACCTATTTGTAGGGTCATTTAGGAATTTTAGAATTTTGTTTTTCTTGCTGATTTTGCTGCTTTGAAATTGACCAACAGTGACCTGCATGCAGCACTTTGCCAAACTCCTCACTTTGAGTATAAGGGAGCTTCAAACAGTTCATAGCAAAATGGAATTGAAATATAATAGAATTTTCCCACTAACTTTTCACAGAGGCCACAGCACTGTTCTCAGGGTCCAGAACTTGCCCGTTTCTAGAATGGACATGTGGAGCATTTTCCAGCTCTTGGTACCTACCTGTTGTTGTTGCTAACATGCCATCGAGTCAGTTCCAACTCATAGAGAGACCCTGTATGGGGTTTTTGAGGCCGTCCATCTTTACAAGAATAGAAAGCCTCATCTTTCTCCTGAGGAGTGACTGGTGGGTTTGAACTGCCGACCTTGTGTTTAGCAGTCCAGTGCTTATCCTGCAGTGCCACAAGCACTCCTACTATATAACAAATATGCACTGTTGCTTTGCCTGGTTCTCACAGTTAAATGATAAACTTGAGATGGTGGTGCTATCCTCTCTGTTGAGAGATGATCATTTTACCTAAAAAGGACCTGACACAGGTTATCTGGTTTCATTTGATGGAGACTGTGTGCCATGGAATTGGTTCTGACTCATAGCGACCCTGAATAGGTTTTCCAAGGTTGTCAATCTTTATGGGAGCAGAAAGCCTCATCTTTCTTCTGCAGAGCAGCTGGTGATTTAAGCTGTTGACCTTGCAGTTAGCAGTCCAGATTGTAATCCAGTATGGCGCTGTAGGATCTATGAACCATAAGATTAGTTCAGACCCACCAGCTGCTCTATAAAGGATTGTTATGAGTCGGAACCAACTCAATGGCACTTAACAACAACAACAACAACAACACACTACCAAGGGTTTTCATTTAGCCAGTCAGATTCTTAAAAGTTGAGGACTCATTTCATTTTTTAATTAACAGCTATGTAACATAGGAGCGTCAAGGACTACGCTCTGGTATTTTACGATAGTTGATTCATTTTTCTATGAGAGAGAATAATTTTATACTATTTAGAAACTATTATTACATTTAAAGAGGCCCTAGGAAAATGAATTTGGTATTTTTAAAGGTATCTAAAATAATAGAAGATAACTTTAGCATCCTAAGAAAAATTCTGCCCAGCTCTCTCGTGAAGATCCCTGGGTGTCTCAGGTTTGTGACTGTAATCAAATGGGTTTGTTTTGTGTCCTTTTGCCTCCGTTCTTTGGAAAAAGCAGTTGAGAGATATTTTTCCCTAGTTCCTGAGGAGTTACTTTTGCTCTAATTTCTACCCCAGAAGACTTGTTGCGTTTGTCCAGGTTGATAGGCATTTCCTGGACACACTGTAAACAACTTGACTTTGATACATTTTGTTTGGTCCTGCGCTGCAGCCTGCCTGTGACTAGTATACACCTTGCATAGATTGTTCAATAATACTGTGCATATGAGGTGAGTTGCTACCTGTTATGCAAATGAAATATCTATGGCCTATCAAGGAATTGGTGAGTTCATGGTCCTGCTGGGAGTATCACTCCTTGTAACTGACAAGTAGTTTATGTGTTTAAGCAGCTAGCCCGTAAAGATTTTTGAGACAGAAAATAACAGAAAGAGAAGCAGAAAGAAAAAGAAGAGAGCTGAACTCAAAACTGGGAGGCAAGGATGCTGAGGTTAGGGAGGGCGGCCAGTATCGGAGCTGGAATGGTACCGCAGCTTGGAGAATGTAGAACTATCTGGGATATATTTAACCTCCTTCTCAGGGGATTAGACTTTATAGTGATTCTTATATTTGAAGTTATTCATACAGCAATAGACTGCTAACCCAAAGGCTGGCAGTTCAGATTCACCCTATAGCAGCGCTGTAGAAGAAAAACCTGGTGATCTGTTTCTCTTAAGATTACAGCCCAGAAAGCCTTATGAGGCAGTTCTACTTTATTACACACAGGGCTGCCATGAGTCAGAAACAGCTTTATGGCACAAGGTGTGATTTGGTTTTCCTCTGCTAAACACAAGAGTGTATCATCCTAGATTCCCATTTTTTATTTTATTATTGTTATCAAATAAAACAGCCATTCTGTCATTTCACAAAAACTGGCTTTAGAGGGCTCGCGCCACAGAATCTTTTTAGATTCTTCAATACATTACCAAATTGAAACTCTGATATTTCCTCTCTTAATCAATCCTATTAAATTATATTTGAAATGGATCCATTAAGTCCTGAATTCTATATTGCAGCCCATAGGAAAGATCGTTTTTAAATTGCCTAAAATGACCAATTTAATTACTGAAGTGTACTAAGACATGAGCTACTTTTCTTTCTTGTTTTCCCCACCTAAAAACAAAACCACTTAAGTTGATATTTAAGTTAGTGTAAATTGCTGAATATAAACTTAGAAGGCAAATTAGGCAAGTAGAGGATGATTCACATGTAACTAATTGGATGTCTGTTAAACTTCTCATTTGAGAGAGCCATATTAAGGCAAGTTGGTGTGAGTATAATTAATCACTGAACAGTACGCCTTTCCTCGGCTCTGCCTGGTACTTTTGGCATTTAAATTGCTGCCTTATCTTTGGGAAGCATATTTCTAGTTAAAAAAAAACAAAAACAAAAAAAAACCAGTGACTGTTCAAAGTAAGCTTTAGCAAACTAGATATATATATTATTCTTCCCACCCCAATCTTGTATTCTTTTTCTGATGTTTGTACTTCTTAAAGACATTTCAGCAGGGAAAAGGGGTCCTGAGCTCAACCCGGTTTGTTGGCTACTTGATTTGGCAAATAGGAGTGCAGGTGTGACAGACAGCTCTGGCTCTGAGCCACATACCTCCCATGCCCTGTGTACTTCAGGAGTGAAGGTGGGTGCTCAGGTTCTGTGGAAGCTGGCATAGCCCTCTGGCTCTGGCTTCTCAGCTGTTTACAGGTTGATGGGTCAGGCCTATCATTCATCATGGTTGCGCTAAAGAGTAAACATCCATTGATACATGTAGTAACAATAATGAAGCACATACTCATTTTCCCCTCCCCAAACCTGCATTTGCTGAGTAAAGGCTCCCAACAGTCATCTTTATTAAGATACAGGCAGGAAATGCTCTTTACAAGTGAGGATGGGTCCGTCCTAGCACAGTTGTGGTCTAGCAGCCCACCTCCCCACTTGCCCTACCAGCTCTCAGTGACCCCTGGCTGTCTCCTGACTTACAGCCAAGGCCAGGCTGCTGGGATGTAGGGATCTGACCTAGGCACACGAGAAAGGGCTCCAGCTCACTGGGAAACAGGGATTGACCTGTGCTTTTGACAGCCCCAAAAGGGGCTGCCCCTACCCAAACCCCTGCAACTCCCCACTGCATGGCAATGGATAAAGGACCCAATGGGGGATGGGGGTCCCTGTTCTGACTCT